TGAGGAAAAGAAAAATAAACAGAATTGGATACAAAAATACATGCAAAATAAGCTACCTGAAATATAGGCATAACAATGAACCAAAAAGTACTATTTATTGTATTTAAAGAATACTGTACAACCATTATTACAATTAGAATTAGATTTTGAAAAATCACCAACACTTTATTTGAGACGGTGCTTATTTGGCACAGGTGTTTAATACAGCATTTAGTTTACAGAGCAGCAGAAGTCAAATGACATTAGAAACCACAGAAACATTACCCATCTAACAGCAGATATATTACCTGGGGTCTCGCAGTTAGTGCCAGTAAATCCACTCGCACACTGGCAAACATAACCACCACTATTTGTGGGGAGACACTGGCCACCATTTTGACACGGAAATAATGCGCAAGATCCTAAAGAAAAAAATAAGAAATAAAAAAGATTGGAAAGAATGAGAATCTAATAAACTAAAAACATGAAAGGAAAAGTTAATGAACAGAAATGAATACAAAAATACATGCAAAATAAGCTACCAACAATATAGGCATAACAATGATCTAATAAATACTATTTATAGCATTGCAAGAATATTGTACAATCACTAATACATTTAGAATTATATTTTGAAAAATCACCAACAAAAATACCAACTAAAGTATTTATGCATAAAATTATTAGAATAACAGTTATTGAAAAAAAAAATCAATACTACAGTATATATCTATTATTAATACTGACATGTGCTTTTCTCACAAATGCCACAGCATTTGAGAGCTGTGCTTAACGGAAAAAACAAGTCTGGTGACAGTCTTAACTGAGAGGGCGCTTATTTGATTAAGTTGCTTAATAAAACATTTTATAGTGTACAGAGCAGCAAAGGTCAAATGACACTAGAAACAATAGGAACATTACCCATCTAAGAGCTGATATACTACCTGGGGTCTCGCAGTTAGTGCCAGTATAGCCACTAAGGCACTGACAAAAGTAATCGCCGTTATTAAATCCGGTGAAGCATGTGCCACCATTTTGACAAGGTTGCGTATTGCAAGGTCCAAGATTACCTCCTAAAGGAAAATAACAAGTAAAAATGAAAGGAAATGAAGAGAAGTTAATCAATAAAAAATGAATGGAAAAGTTAGTAAAAAACAATTGTACAACACAAAATAAGGTGCAAGACTGTTTATATTATTGAAAGACTACAGTATTGTACAGCAGGAGAGGGCATAAAAGTTGGTCAGATAGAGTTGCTTAATAAAACACAGCAGTGTCAAATGACACTAGGAACGACAGAAACATTATCCATCTAACAGTAGATATACTACCTGGGGTCTCGCAGTTAGTGCCCGTAAATCCATTCACACACTGGCAAACATAACCACTAGTTGTGGGGAGACACTGGCCACCATTTTGACATGGAAATAATGCGCAAGATCCTAAAAGAAAAAAAAAACATAAAGAAGAATTAAAAGGATGAAAATCTAACAAACTAAAAAAATAAAAGGAAAAGAAAAATAAACAGAATTGGATACCAAAATACATGCAAAATAAGCTACCTGAAATATAGGCATAACAATGAACCAAAAAGTACAAATAGTATTTAAAGAATATTGTACAACCATTATTACATTTAGAATAATATGTTGGAAAATCACTAACACTTTATTTGAGAGGGTACTTATTTGGCACAGGTGTTTAATAGAGCAATTATAATTTACAGAGCAGCAAAAGTCAAATGACACTAGAAACAACAGAAACATTACCCATCTAAGAGCAGATATACTACCTGGGGTCTCGCAGTTAGTGCCCGTAAATCCATTCACACACTGGCAAACATAACCACTAGTTGTGGAGACACACTGACCACCATTTTGACACGGAAATAATATGCAAAATCCTAAAGGAAAAAATATGAAAGAAGAATGGAAAGGATAACAATCTAATAAACTGAAAAAATGAAAGAAAAGGAAAAATCAACAGAATGGGATACAAAAATACATGCAAATTATTAGCTACCTGAAATACAAGCAAAACAATGAACCAAAAAGTACTATTTATAGTATTGAAAAAATATGGTATAGTCACTAAAACATTTAGAATTATATCTTGAAAAATCACCAACAAAAAGACCAACTATTTATCCATAAAATGAAATTAGAATAAGCTATTGAAAATAAATTAATAGTATATAGCTAACAGTAACATGTACATTTCTAATCAATGCTGCAGCATTTTAGAGCAGCGTATAACGCAAATATCAAGTCTGGCGACAGGCTTAACCGAGACAGTGCCTATTTGATTGAAGTGCAAAACATTTTATAGTGTACAGAGCAGCAAAGGTCAAATGAAACAATAGGAACATTACCAATCTATCAGATATACTACCTGGGGTCTCACAGTTAGTGCCAGTATAGCCACTAAGGCACTGGCAAACGTAATTGCCGTTATTAAACCCGGTGAAACATGTGCCACCATTTTGACATGGTTGCGAATCGCAAGATCCAAGATTACCTCCTAAAGGAAAATAACAAGTAAAAATGATAGGAAAGGAAGAGAAGTTAATCAATAAAGAAATGAAAGGAAAAGTTTTGAATTGTACGACACAAAATAAGGTGCAAGACTGTTTATATTATTGAAAGGCTATTGTACAGCAGGGGTGGGAAGAAAAGTGGGTCAGATGGCCAAAATGAAATTTGGATTTTACACTGAGGGCTGACCCAAACCTTGATGTTTCCCAAAACATGTATGCACTGCTTTTAAACCACTTTATGCTCCGTTTTTAATAACTTTTTACAGGTCGGGCCATAAAAAACAATGTGTTTTGTATCCAAAAATTGTTGGCGGGCCGCACACTGATTTTAAATAATTTTTGTGGGCCACATCAAAATTACCATCAGGCCGCATCTGGCCTGTAGGCCGCACTTTTCCCACCTGTGCTGGACAATGTAACACTGATGACATTCAAAAAATTAAGTAACAAAAATACCAATTATGATAAACGAAGAACTGAAAGGAAAAGTTATTGACCAAGATAATATAACACTGACAACTGATATTATAATAAAAATTAAATGATAGGATAAAAAAAATACACTAATAATCATAACAAAAATTAGGTAACAGCAGCACACCATAATGACAACAATGACGACGACAACAACGACAACAATCACAATGTAAAGAAGATAAAAAAAAAATCAAAGGAATTAAAACTTGAAAATTATGTGAAAATCTACTGAGCTTGTAAACTTAACTACTGTAATCTAGCCAACACTAATTGGAAAGTCAAACATGGTACAGAAAATTTTAGCTATATAATTCCAGTCACTCAAACCTGTTTCGCAGTTAGTCCCAGAGAAACCATTTGTACACAAACAGCTGTAACTTGATTGGTCATTCGGTTGTTGTTGACATATTCCTCCATTTTGACACGGGGATGGGTCACATGAGTCCACTATATTAGCTACAGTACAAGCATGAAAATGTATTTTAGGAGGAATTATAGAAAAACCAGAGCAGTCATTCCATAAAGTCCATACTCTGCCTTGTCTTTAAATCAAAATATTAAATAAAAAACAAACTCCAAGAAATAGTTTTTCTTTGAAGCTGACCTTTTACATTTTTTCACCAATCCATCCATTATCTATTCGTGAGTCGTCATCCATCTCTTTGGTTAAATCTCATTAAAAAAAATTTCTTTTTCATTCCTGCCAGCTAGCTCTTTTCAAGTTCCAGTTTTCCAAGTTCTAAGATGGCCGAGACTCAACGGCCGGTGCTTGACAGGGTACATTTTCACAGATCCCTGATCAGCAACGAGGGGTTATCCCCATACTGCGGTTTTGGTACTGGCTTGGGGTTCTTCCCTTGTTTTTCTAGTGTTTTTCACTAGTACTACTGCTGTAGTGCAGCACTCAAGTCTTATACTAGTTTTTGCATAAACTGTGATCTTGGCCTGTATTTTTTACCCCACAGTTTAAAGCCAGGCTTCGCAGAAAATAAAATGGTTTATTTTAAGACAACGAAAAGGGTATTTCACTAAAAACTAGGGAACAGTTAATAAGATACAGATTTTTGAATATTTAAAAACTGGGAGGAAAGGTGGAAAAGGGTAGAAAATGGTAGTTGGACCTTCCCAGCCCCCCAATTTTTTAATATTCAAAAATCCCTTCCAAATTTTTTCGTCAAACACCCTTTTTGTGTCTTAGAGAAACCAGTTGTACAACAACAAATTTTTTCCCATCAGAGCGTGGCTTTAATCCTCCCTACGTATTATTCTATATTTTTTGATAAATAATAATAATCCGGCATGCAAGTTATATCATTTACCAAGAAAGAGAATAGGAAATTAGCCTGAACAAATAATTTTGTACTCTTTCCTCTTTAAAACTAACGCTACATAAACAAATACAAAACTTAAACATACAGTAAAGTTACAAACTACAAATTGATAAATAATCAGAAGACAAAGGTAAATAAACAATCAGATAAAAAAAAAATAAACAAACATAAACAGTTAATAAATAGTCAATACATTGAAATATAGTGCTTGGTTAGAGCAGATGATGATGATTAATTCATAATGATATAGTTCTAGTAAATTCAATAAAAACACTGTAAGTACCATAAAATATTTTTTTTAATGCAGATGTATTTGAGTAGAGCACTGATTTTAAGATAGTTTAAGCTACATTCACACCAAAGCCCGGATCTATTCTGGTGCCCATACAAAAAATAGTCAAAAATGGGTTCAGTGGTAAGGAATAGGACCGATCACATCAAATTTGTACAATTTCCAATCCGGACTCCGGATCCAGAGCGATGGCTCTGTGAGCCCTTTGTATCGTGAAATCGTACATTTGTTTTTCGTTAGACCAATCAGTAATAAGTTTGGTTGGTTCAAACGCATAAGTACTTGACATTGAATAACTGTGTTCCGTGCGCGATGTGAAAGCAGCATTCAAAAACTCATTAATTTGTCCAGGCTCCGGACTGGATCCGGGCTTGATGTGAACATAGCTTTATCATGGAAAATATTCCCAACATACTGTGAGATATTCCATGGTTTAAATTTTAGTCTAGCTGAATATAGGTTTCAAGAATATTAAAAACTGATAAAGAAGTCAAATGGGGATGGTGAGGTGGTCGTAGTGGCAGTGGATAGAGGTCATTGTGTACCAGTGGTGGTGATGGGGGTTATGGTAATGATGGTAGTGGTGGTGTTGGTGCTAGGTTGGCATTATGAAAGTATGTCAATGAGGGATGGGGTGGTAGAAACAGTAGAATGGCCTACAGTAATAATAGTTGAATTAGGCAGTTATGTGACAGCATAATATCATTACAAAACACTATAAAATAAGCATACAATTACGCACACATGTAACAAAAAGGCCCAATTGTTACCTTGTTCACAGTGTCTGCCTGAATAACCACGCAAACAAAGGCATATGTATGATCCACTGTCGAGATTCATGCAAACACCCTGATACAGACAAGGTAGATAGTCACATGGCAGTGTTTTCCCCGATGCTATGTATTAACATTCAGTGATTGCATAGACAGTAAAAAGAAGGGTTAGAAAAGAAGTGAAAAAGAATGATTGAAGAATTATTAATGAAGGTGAATGAAAAAGTAGATTAGGTATTATCACGTGATAGTTATACACTTGTTTCTCAGCCAAAGAAAATTAAATCTGCCCACTTTGGCACAACATCATATTTGGCAAAGACAAGACAAACCAGTTATTAATACAGGGTTAAAGAATAGAATGAGAGCTATAAAATGGTAAAAGAATCATTTAAATCGGACATTTTGTTATGAAGTTACAGGAGTTTAAACATACAGCTGTTTAAAGAACAATATTTGAGAAATCAGCCTTTAAAGTTTATGATTTCTAGCATTTCTTGGGCAGAAACCATCACCAAATCATAAAAAGAATTGTTGTTTTAACATTGGAAATGGGAAAAATAACACCATAGCATGATATATAGATAATATAAAGGTTAGATTAGTGCAATAAAATAGATTTCCAAAATTTTGAAAAACCAGCATGTTTTGGCCATTATCTCCAAAAAATAATTTGCAACAAGTGACTGCTTTGGCTTGTCTTTGCCACATATGTGTATGAAATTCTATCTTAACACTACCAGATATATTAGTATGAAGTGACAATAATGGACCTCGACTTGATAGTCACTTTGTAATTATTCATCCTCTTTTTCTTTAATTTTGTTTCTTGTTACTATTGTGTCTGATGTTTGATTGTACGATTACAATATATGACTTAAGAAAAAAAAATTAATATTCATATCTATGTTGACATGTTTTAATCTAGTAATTAGCTCATTCCTAGTAATACAACCTATAATACAACCTAGAGCGTCTAAAACAGAATAATTATTGTATAATGATTATTAGCGTTATCATTGCCGTTGTTGTAGTTATCAATGTTGTCATCGGCATCATCATCACTATTCACAAAATATTACATGCCTAATCACGGGAAAGGAATGGGTTTTCATTGAACCCATCATTATTTACATGACAAATAATATATAAAAAAGGGACCACAAAAAAGAAAAACTTCCAGTACACTATATGTGTTTTTTTTAGTCAAAACCACTGGTTGATTGTCAAAAACCATATTATTATACATGGTGTACCAAAAGATTAATTAATTCATTTTAAAAAGAACAACTAACATTTTAAAAATTCAGAAAGAGGGGGGGGGGGGGGGGGTTAATCTTAGTCATTAAATACATTCAACATTCTATATTCTTAGTCTACAACAACCCTTAATTTCTCATGTTGAAACAAAGAAAAAAAATATATCCTAGGCCTACCTGATGCACATGTTGGGCCTGAGTAGCCAGAAGAGCACGTGCAAAAATATCCCCCAGAAGGTAAGTTAAAACAAGTGGCTCCATTTAAACATGGTGATGTTGCACAAGGTAGCTGTGGTGCCACAGTGTTAATAGCTGTGGCAAAATGTATGAATTAATATGTGTAGTCATGTGTAGTTAATTAAAGTGAAAGTCAGAAAGAGAAAAAAAAACAAAATAGAGTGCCAACATACATTAATCTTCAAACAAATATCCTTTCCAGACTATCAAATTTTATTCGACAAACACATGTGACATTCCTAAATATGGTCATGATGACATCACATCATGACCATATATAGGCACATCATGACTATATATGGGCAAGCAACAGTTAAAAAAAAAAAAAAAATTTGATAATGTGGACAGGGCCTTAAGCTCTGTTCACACTAAATTTATCATTATGGGAATGGTGATGTCATATCACACCCATATATGGGCATGATCATGTCATAATATATTGGTAAATCACACAAATTTGCCATATTAAGACTTGATAGTGTGGAGTAAGATTTATCAGAGTTCATTCACCTCAAAATTGGTTGCTACATATACACAGCCACTTCATAAGAATCCTGAGCTTTCGATTCACGACGGTGGGCAATGGGTACGGAGAGCTTCCTGACCGTAACAAATGCCTCCCGTCCTGTTGTGAAAACATGTTTCAATCATTCTACCCATTGCATGACGGTGGCTCATACACAAACGCCCTCAAGTTAATGTCGAATGACTTGCAAACTTTTTCTTAGCCTAGCGTGGTACGCGATCTAAGGAACTGAGAATGCCAAATTTACGTGTAGTTTGTGAAAACATTGAAAATGCGTATTTATATGGCTTTCTTGATGATGCAGAATTTGTGTTTTTATATGAAATAAATACGTCAAGAAATTCAGATTTCCAGCACAACTATGCCCCATTTGATTTAAACGGATACAATGATGACGAGTGTAACAGTTATTTTAGGTAAGGAGAGGCTGCTTGCACAGAAAGCTGAAAGGTTTAGGCCCAGGTTTCGTCTGTCATGCATCACACACAATTTAAACATTCCCTGGTTCCCGGTGCATTGCTTCCCGAAGATACATTTTTGTACCATTTTACCGTCCTCTCCTGTCTACCGTCATGGATCGAAAGCTCACTAATAATAACAATAAGTGTACAGTAAACACTAATAACAATAAGTGTACAGTAAACACTAATAACAATAAGTGTACAGTAAACACTAATAACAATAAGTGTACAGTAAACACTAATAACAATAAGTGTACAGTAAACAATATTGATGCTGCCTTATGTGCCAGAAGGCACAACAGGCAGAAGTAAGTAAGCAAGTAAACAACATTGATGGAAAACAAATCACGCTCAAATAGTTATCATTTTTTACCTGTTTCACATTTATTCCCGGTGTACGTAGATGGGCATCGACACATGTAACTACTAAATGATGTTATTATGCAAGTTCCTCCATTCATACATTCATTGATAGCACATGGTGATGAAGCTTTGAAGAAAGAAACAAAAAACATAACAGTTTTGACATTTTTGAAATTTTAAATGGCTAAACAATGGCGACACAAAGACACATTACTGACTTTTTCGTAAAAAGAAAAAAATCCAGATTAAAGGAATAAAATTAAAATCTTTTATTAATTATTAAATATAATATATTATATATACTGTAGCACGATGAGTTCCGGGATCCTTCTTACCAGGAGGAAGAGTACCTGTCGGGAAGGGAAGTTGTTTTAATCAATAAAACAAAATTTAAACAAATTAAAAATATAAATTTAAAAAATAACTGAAATACATTTGTGTAGCGTAATGGTGGCTCTCGAAGTATAAACACCAGATTTTATCAATGGATCCTGTCAATGATGACCATGTGTCTTCCGAAGATGACGGCTACTACAACAATAGTAACAGTATAACAGAATTAATCTTATTACAAAATAATTTTTTAAGCACATTAATTTCTTTATACAAAACTTTTAAATCAACAATATCAACTATCCACAATATGAAATTAACTAATCTTAAACAAAATAAGTATGGTACTGTATTTCCGATACTTACTGTAAATAAAATACTTATCAAAAAATGCCTTCTTTACCTTGGACCCCTCCACGTGTCTATACCTACACCTGTAATACCTGTCCATACCTACACCACTATACCAATACTTGTCTATTCCTACATCTGTTTGCACAACCTAGGACCTATGCACACACATATGTCTGCACATACCTACTAGGACCTACCCCATTCATGTCTACACCTGTTCAAAAATAAATGGTAGACCAACCACACTGACACTTATGGCTACGTTCAGACTTGGAGATAAGCCAGGATTAAGTTAAGCCCGGCTTAACATTGCTGGGCGTTCTAGCGGGTTTAGCCAGGCGAGAATTTGCATAATAATGAACCATAACCAGGAAACGTGTTTCCAAACATTGCTCCTCGCAAAACGTGCGCTCGCTCACAGCGTATGTAATTGAATTCTGATTGGACATTTTGTTACCCGGAAGTCAATGCCAGACCCCTGCAACGATTAAAGCCCGGCTTAGAAAAGTTAAACACGGTGGCGCGCCAGGCCTAGTTACTACAGGAACACAGTCCGGCTTGAGATAATCCACCTAGTTCAGACTGGCAGGTGGATAAACCCAGTGAGTTGAGCCGGGTTTATCCACCCAGTCTGAAGTAGGCCTATGTTTACACACTTGTCCACACCTACACAATCAATACCTACAGTTCTCTAAAAATTCCTGTCCAATTCATAATCTTGTTAATACAGTAATAAGAACTGTCCACACCTACTGTACACCTGTTCATACCAGCACCTTTCTATACCTACCCTACCCACACTTACAACTGGGTTCATACCACTGATCTCTACTATAATACCTGGACTGTTAAAAGCGCAAGCAAAGTCACATTGTTATAGTGACGTGCATTACTAACAATCAACTTTACTTGCGCTTTTTCAAACTGCATAAACATTCGTGTTGAGTGGTTAGATGATTTGAAAAAAAAAATCATTACCTTAATTTAAATGTATTATTAAAAAGTACTGCTAAAATTGTTATTTTCAAAAATAATTTAAACAAATGCCAAAAGAAACTTGTCTTAGGCCTCCCAACATGGCGTCTGTGGCTTCAATAAAACCAGCCAATGAGCAATCCAGCTATTATAATAGAGATCAGTGGTTCACACACCTGTTGCCTCCTACATACCTGTTCACAAAACTTGTCAGCATACACCTTTCCAAACCTACACCTGTCTAAGCTTCACCCCTGTCAAAGCCTATGTCTGCTAATGCTAGGTGAGACAATGGACAAGATGGGCAAATATGACAGGCCGTGATTTGCTGTGGATGCCAGCGCAGTTTTTTTAAACTGTAAAAAAATTTACCTTGGCAGTCACTATGTGGATGAGAAACCTAGTAGGCCATAGTAAAATGGGTTGAATGCAACCAAACTTGACAGTAAGTAACAAAACTTGGAGGTGGTCCGTAGTGGGACGGGAAGCATAAATAGGTAAAACACAACAATTAAAACTACAAGAAGCAATCGACAAAGACCAAGCTATGATAGAAAAAAACGAGCAAATCTTGAATACGGTGAAAAAATGGCTGCCGTCGCCACCGGGAACATAATGTAAACCCAGCATAACACCTAAACCTGTTGCACATTCCTGTACAAACTTATATACACACCTGTTTGGCAGTTTGTACCAGTAAAACCCATCGCACATTCACAGAAATATCCATCACCATTATTACTGGTAAAGCATGTACCACTGTTAAGGCAGGGGCTGTTACTGCAAGTTTGTCCTATATTCGTTTTAAGTTAGAAAGGTTAATAGGCAAAAGAAAAAAAATAATACCAGTCATGTTAAGCAACATCGTATATTAAAGCAAATACCATATATTCTCACGTATAAAGCAATCTGTGACAAATAAGATGACCCCCAGTTTCATTGTTAGGATTCCTACTTTTTGCTGCTCTTTGGATTGGATTGGATATATTCGGTGTAAACACCAAGGATAGCCCACGAAAGTCTAGAAGAGGACTTATTTCCAGTGGGGTTGTTCTGGTAGTGATTGGGCAGTACACTGGGAGACAATCCCCTACTCTTTTCCGAAGAGTGTACTGCGTTTTTTAACGTGCACATGAGCCACAAATGCACACGGGACCAACGGCTTAAACATCTCATCCGAAAGACGGTGCGCTAATTGTACTTGTGTTTCAGCCCTCCAGCTGAAACACAAGGAGAGGCAACGATAGGAATTAAACCAAGGGCCTAGAGATCTCCACGGTTCAGCGCACACACAGTGGCTGCCTAAGATTAGCCGACTGAGCTAAGCTGCTCTTCTAGTCTTTATGGTACTGATACTGCATTTAGATGGCTTAAAATGGAGCCAAATACAGGGCTAATCTTAAAAATAATAACATTTTATGGGATTGTAAATGTTCATTAAAATATTAATTCCTCACATTTAAAATTTGCTTTCATTCATACTAACAGTTATTAGCTTCATTTCATTAGTAAACTTCCGTGCTATGGATGATAAGATGAACATAATTTAAAGATAAAAAATTTGTATGTGTTGCGCCGATACGATGCCCTATTTTTTCGATCATATTTTGCTATTTAAGCCTCGTGTTATATGTGAGAATATAAGGTATATCTATTATGAGATACATAAAACATACAAGATTCAATAAGCACTATTATCTGTACCAATGCGATTCAATAATTGTCTAATGCTCCAATAAAACCATTTTGCTACGTACTTCACTGTTTTGCATTTGTTTATAACTATTGTATATTGTAATCAGCATTATATTGAAGCGCATTAAAGCCGGGCACTCACTCCATCGTACCGCCATCGTACATCAAAACCAACTCCGTTCCCTGTGAGCGCTAGACACGATGCCGTCTAGTGATTGCTAGTTGCAACGGATCATCATTGAATATGATCCATTATGCGTGCGCCGTTCCATTGCATTCTCCATAGAATCGCGTCGGTTGTCGGGCGGAGTGAGTGTCCGGTGTTATAATTGCGAATTAAATACCTACCTGTTTCACAGTTTTTTCCTGTGAAACCTGTCTGACAATCACAGAAATACCCAACACCACTATTACTACTAGTAAAGCATGTGCCTCCATTAAGACAGGTGTTAACAGTGCAGCCATCAGCTTCAGCTAGCATACAAAAATAATAAAAGCAAGCAAAGTAATGAAACATAAAGCACAATAGCAATATTAGTAGCCAGTAATTAATGTATACTTTGCTGACCAGAGTGGCGGATCCAGGAATTCGAAATAGAGGGGGCCTGGGGAGGTACTTTCACAGATGGAGGATCTACTGTATACCACCTCAGGCCCAACATGTTTGTGATTATGGCACCTCTAGATGGCTGGAATTTAAAATTTAAATATAATGCTATTCATATATTCACTTTAAAAAAAGTTTTGAACAATTTGTGGAGGGGGGCTGGGCCCAGCCACCAGCCCACACCCCCCAATACAATTCGTTCCCCCCCCCCCCCCCCCCCCCCCAACTTGAATCTGCCACTGCTGACACACAAACACATGCATTATTATAATACTGCATTTAATATCCTTGTGTATAACAGGGATTTTGCATATTATAAGCCATGTTGAAATGACTATCAGGAACTGATAAATTGAGATATAATTAAAATATAATTGTATATGCATGATGATGTACAGTGGTATGTGTTTTGGAATTTCTGAATAAATCTATGAATGAATAAAATAGGAATGAAAAAGAGAATTTACAAATATCAATTGCAATTCCCAAGCTAACAATATTAAGTTATAAGAACGTTATACAGTAATAACAATACAGTTTGGTGCTAAAAACGCTATTTTGCAGAACCGTATGTCAGACCTGCCAACCCTTGGGTCATGAAAATCTGGAAATTTTTTTAAGAATCATAAAAAAATCTGGAGGTTTCCATAATTACCCAAAAGATGATGCAAGATACCAAGAAAGTCACGTCACTACGAATCATTGCCCGTTTGGTAGCGAAATTTGAATTGAAAATTACTGCTTGTTTATTGCACTGCGAATCAAGCAGGCGGCGACTACATTGGATAATAACGATCAAATCAATCAAATTATGCATAAATCGGAGTATTTTTGGGGAGGGGGATGGCCTGTGAAATCGGGTGAAAATTACATTCGATAGGGAGAACTGGAGATTTGTTTAAATATGGGGTGACACCCGACAGGATCAGGTGAGTTGGCAGGTCTGATATGTATGTACTTATAACCTAATTTCACAACGTTTGAATGTTCTTACAACGTTGTGTGAATGTTAGTTTGTGTCATACATAACCACAACATTTGCGAACGTTATAAGAACGTTTTGTGTTTGCTGGGTCAAGTCTGTAAATGTATTAGTATAATTAACTGAATTTCATTCATATTATTAAGTGTGTATATTTCAATTTTTTTTTTTTACAACCTATGTTGATAATGATTAGGAGTGCCTGTCTGAAGATGTTATGTTTCTATCAAAATACCAGTCCTACAGCATAACCTACCTGTTTCACAGTTTGACCCTGTGAAACTTGTTGGACATTCACAGAAATACCCATTACCATTGGTACTACTACTACTACTAGTAAAGCAAGTGCCTCCATTAAGACAGGGGTTATTGATGCAACCATTATTAGCTTCTTCAGACAGTTTCAGGCACATATAAGCAGGGAAAAATAAAAAATTGTAAAAGAACATTCCAAGCGACAAAACAAGACATTATTTACTATTATTAATAAAAAAGCAAACAAAGCAAAAAGGAATTGTAATTAAAATGAATACTTACCGCACTATTTACATTTTCTGTTGCTATTGGGGCTTAGTACATGAGTTTCGACATAGGCCTAGGCTAGGCCTACGTGTGTATTTGGTATCAAGAAGAACAGTCACATAGGAGTACTGTAGCAGCCATGGATAGCACTAAGTAAGTAGAGCTAGGATGCGGACGAGTAGGCCTAAGCCTACCTAAAAAGGGAAGCCTATTATTATTAAAATAATGGAGTGAACTGGCTTAGACCTATGTATGTCCCCTCCACATGACTACATATTAAAGACTAGGCCGACTGTACAGGCAATGTAAGCAAGTTATATAAATAGGTACAGGCCATCGTCTTCTATTATGACTCATGAGGTTACATTTCCGTATTCACCACAAGTCCCAAGTTGAATCCACGCGGTAAAACGTTGTTATTGAATAAGTAATAAGTTTTTAACCACTGTGATTGGCTATCCAGTACTGGGACGGACTAGTGGGCGTGACTAATAGGAAACTTTCCAAGCATTCGTTGGACATGATATAAATATCCGGTTTTATAAATTATTATTAAATTATACTGCAAGTATTCATAAAGAAAAGCTTATTTCCAAAGATTGAGTCTGAATTAACAATAGCTAATAACAATTATTTAACATAAATAATCAATTAAGCAAGTATACTGAGTCGACTAATAAATATGAAAAGATAGTTATTAATTACCTGTATAGCATAAAAGTAAGTTAATTACATAACGTTTGAATAAGTCTTGTACGTGATCTCATTGATTCAACGATTCAGTTGAATTTTTTAACAATTGTAAGCTAACCAAATTGATATGCACTAAACCTATTAGCCACGTATGCTGCAGAAAAGACTTTTAAATTTTTTTTTAAATTTCGCTGTAGACATAACCATTTACTTCTAAATTAATTATATAACACCATAATGTGTCTCTGAAATCGACTGCAGGGCATATCGTATTATATCCAGTGGTGGATTAAAGAGGGGGAAGGGGTGGCTGTCGGCCCGGGACCCCACAAAATTTGTTAAAAAAATAAAAAATGGAGGTAAAGAGAAAATTATATTCACAATTTAAAGTCTGCCAGTACCATTTCCGGCCATCCAGACGTGTCATAATCATACATTTTCTCAGCCCCACCAGGGCAACAGCATAATGTGTCTCTGAAATCGACTGTAGGACATATTATATTATACCCAATGGCGGATTAAAGAGGGAGGGGGAACTACAAAATTTGTCGAATTATTTTTTAAATGGAGATTAAAAGAAAATTATATTCACAATTTTATGTCTGTGTGAGTGCTATTTATGGGAACAATATGCTTTTCCCTAAAATACATAATCTTTATTTATCACCAGGAGATACACCCCCGTACCAAAGTTACTATTACATGATTTTATATAGAGGGAATATACAGCAATTTACTCAGTACTTTATCACACTCATTAATAGGTACATGCATTGAAGTGTACCAAAAGTTTGAGGACAAAATAAAATTTCGACTGCTGAGCTTTGTGTCTATTAACATCAAGATGTTTTCTTTATAAACAGTATACTATTATCATTAGTTGATGTCAACACCGTCCAAGGTGACACAGCGCATGCTACGCATAGTACTGAGCAATCATGTATACATTACTGGATTTGGATGAATGCAGAAATTAAAAGGAATAGAGATTGCGACTCTCGGTTCGTGATTCGCGTGTCAATCGAGAATCGAACATGAGAGGAACAGATAATCCAATCCAGCTTACAGTAGCAACATTTTCAAGCATCTACCCACACCAGTGAGTGGGATAGACTAGAAAAACGAAACAAATATTAAATTTATAAAAAAAATCAAAGCAAAACAAAAGAAACAAAAACATGAAAATGAAAGCTAAGAAACAAACTAAAAATATTCTCGTTTCATAAGGTTGAAGATCAACTTATTGATAAGCCAAAGTTCTCCATAGATAAAATCAAAATATTCCTTAGAAAAACCACATCGTGATGGTCCTAACATATTTAACGCATTAAACGTAGGCTTACCACGGTGATTTCCTTCGTATCTGTCAAAATTAAATTATACTCTATCACTTAAGTATAATTAAAAATCTTCCGAAAGCTCGGTTCACAACTAGAGAAATTTAGACCCGTTTTGGTGCTCTCAACGCTGCAAACGCAAGAAATATTAATAAGCCAATTCGTAGTTTGAACTGCGCATGTCTGTAGGTCAATCGACGTAATCAAACATACACGCATCATAAGTTTACGTTGATTGACCTTGGATCAATCAATCAATCCGATGGATTTATAAGGCGCATAATACAGCAACACGTGCAAGAGAAGAAATTGTCTTATTCGGTAATATCTCGCCCTTGTGTCAATGCCTCCAAATAGCTCTAGTGTAAACGCCTCTAAATAGCTCTAGTGTAAACGCCTCTAAATAGCTCTATAGTCAGGGGTGCGCCAGGGGGGGGGGAAGGACCCCGTCGGGGAGACCTCCCCCCCCCCCCCCCCCCGCGGAGAAATAGCACAATTCGTCGGGGAGAAAAAAAATACACGTATTTTCTACATATTAATAGACTCTAAAATCGATTAAATAAGCCTTTTAAACCCCTAAATTGTCAAAATTTTCGAGGACTTCGCCCCAGGACCACTTTCGAGAACTTTTAATCGAAACTCGACCACGCCCACTTTCTTTCGTCGGGAAAATCTGACCCCTCGTCGGGGCATCGCCCCCCTGTCGGGGACCTCGGTACCCCCGTCGGGCAAATCCTGGCGCCACCCCCATGGCTCTAGTGTGAACGTCTCTAAAATAGCTCTAGTGTGAACGCCTCTAAATAGCTCTAGTGCGAACGTTTCTAAATGGATATTGTTTGAACGTTTCTAAATAGCTCTTGTGTGAACGCATCTAAATAGCTGTTTAACCATCCTTTGTTAACAGCACCAGAGAGTTACATTTTGAAGAAGTCTTGTGTACGCCGCTGTCGCTACAAACACTTTGCCGTATTTGAACATGATTAAAACTCCTAACTTATTAGTATTAGTTTCTAATGATTAACATCAGTCATATTGGCAACTATAAATGAAACTATAATAACTAAATGAAATGAAATGAAGCTAAACAAACGTTAGGCCTAGCCTAAGTGCCATATTCTGCAGAAATGTCAACCCGTACGCATTCGCAGTAATTCTTACGCGCATTCCAATCAAATCATATGGTCTTACGCAAAACACCAGCAAAACTTATGCTTACCCTAAAATTTGAGTAAATTTTGTTTTTGTTTTCAATTTGTAATGAATTTTAATAATGATAATAATAATAATAATTACCCGGTGAAATTCGCAATTTTAATTTATCTGTTAGTTCGTTTAAAAATAAACTTTTAAACTATTTTAATAATTATTTCTTAAATAATTTTGATATTGAAAATGTTTGTAGTTGGTCACCTCGTGTAGATGTTCCTTTTGTAGAGAGTAGTTGTTCTGTTTCTGTACTGTTTTGGGTTGACCAACCTGCATAGGTGTTTAGCACCTGTTTGGTCTTTCCTTGCCATGTTTTTGTAAATTTGTTTGTTGTTTTGTGCTTGGCAGAAATTTGAATAAATAAATAAAAATAAATAAATAATATGTCGCTCTTATATAGCGCTTTATGCACAATGCCTCTAAGCGCTTTACTACCCAGGTCATTGGACCAAACACATATGGAACACATACTCAGCTCCCTGGGGAGAATTCCATAATTATTGCAGCTAGTAATCAGCGCCGCTTGCGTTGGAACCTACCAGGTACCCACTTGCACTCCTGGGTGGAGAGAGGCAACCGTAGATAAAGTGCCTTGCCCAAGGACACAAGCGATTTGCACAGCGAGAGCTTCGAACCCCACCTCGAGGTTGGGAGTCCACACAACCGATAACTGACATCCATTCTACCTCCATGATTTCCAATAACTACTGTATCTGATATCATTATAAACTCACTAATATTGATTAGATATGAAATTTAAGCCAAAGCGTCCAGGGAACATCTGGCCTCTGAGCGGGAGCCCTTTGCGGCCCCCTGGCCCCCAGCCACCGTTTGTGCCTTGGGCACTCATTATGTGTCACCCGATCTTACTCTTTGAAATTTCTCAGGATTGACAGGTATGTATCCTGTAGGCCTACCAGTATACTTCAAAGTAGACTTTAAATAAAGTAAGTTTTTGAGTCTAAATGACTTACAGTATCTGAGATGGATCAGTGTCTATTTTACATGACACTAACATTGGTTTCAGTATAAAAGATATAATATAATTGAAGAAATATTCTACTTTGTACTCTTGTATTGTAAATCTATGTCCACACTCTTAATCCTTATGTGACTAATAAAGGACCTACCTTCTGTTTCTGTGCAAAGGGTTCCCGTGTAACCATCAGCACACTCACAGGTAAAACTGTTGGATTCTGTCGCGGTAACAAAGCAAGTCCCATTATTTGAGCACGGGGATTCCAAACAGACACGTAATGGCGAATCTACAAAACAAAACGAAATCGCATACATTTTAATTGACATGTTTAATGTTCACATTTTGACTAATATTCACGAAGGTTTTCATTGATATTTGTTTATGTTCATGCAATTAAAAAGGGGTTAAGATTAATCTTAAAACCATATTCTTCAATAAAAAAAAAAATAGATTTTGACGTATTTTTTTTTTGGGCGTATACAATAAAGAGACTGAATATATTTGATGAACATTGATATGCATTGACATTTTTAAATTTAGTGTCAAAACAGAGTGGAGGGAGGGGGACACGTGCACCCCCTACTGGAGCCGCGTCTGCAAGACGTCGGGGTAGTCGATATTGTTCCTTCGCCAACGCAAATGCCTCTTTTGTGTTATTTACAATGTTACTTACCTTGATTGCAAAAGGGTCCCATAAAAGCATTGGTACATATACACTCAAATCCACCAGATGGCACTGGGGTACAGGTTCCACCATTCAAGCAAGGTGTTGTTGGCGAACAATCAACTGAAGAAGAACGTCAACCCTCAATTTGAATATTAATCAAATATGATACGTAGTTTTGGGAATATGAAAATTATATCGGTTTATAAGTATATAATTAATATATATATAATATACATATATAGGAAAAACCCAGAAACTGCTGACGGCTGTTAAATCATATATAGTTTAACAGTGTTTACGGCAATCTTGATTTATATTATATGCAATGATTTGTTTCTAGCCGTATTCTGAATGGAGTGTATCTGGAGATGTTTGAATCTGTTCATAACCTCTGTGGTCTAATGGTTATGACGCTCGCCTTGACAGCGAGAGGTCGCAGGTTCGAATTTCGTCGGAGGTATTTTATTACACAATTTCTTTATTCATTTATCTGTAGGAC